CGCTAAGCGTAGATTCTACGCAGAGACAGGACAGCTAAGTAGAGAGTGTGGTACGCACTTTCTTATATAGATCTGAGACAAGTGGCATATATTATTCTGGCAACACTCATGACATCGTTAATCATAATACTTATAATAACTAGCGTACATTAGAGGTGGAATCACTCTCTGGGGTCTATTAGTGGACAGCAGCATGGTTGCGAGATTCTGTCATGATGTGTAGTGTGTGAAACATGAACACTGGGTCTAGCCGGCGCATTGCGCTAGTGTCGTCGACACGCGGCAGGTCTCTAGAATCAAACCACATCTTCATCAGAGAGGAACTGAATAAATACAGACACTCCATATCAAACAACATTACTATCTTGAGACAGTATCCATACCACAATATAACGGTGCAAAGTCGAATACTCAACATATAGAGACTCTCTCGTGCGACACATCTAACATTCGATGCTCGTGCGACACGAGGCTACTAGAAGCACACGGGAGAATCGGTCTGAGGGAGTGTGAGAACATAAGTGAGATAAGAGATCTCAGGTGAATGAGCGACTAGGCTGATAGTCTCATATCTTATTATAAATGAGTAGTATATCGAGTAGTTAATATATATATGTCACACGAAGCACTCTCTGGAGAGAGATCTCTACAACAGCATGGTGAGTGACTGATAGGCGAGGGGTGATTAAGGGAATGACTGGAGCGGATGGGGACAGGCAAGCGATGTATATGTGACCGTATCTATGAATTCTCTTACTGTCAACTAGGGATAGATCACTAACGATGACGAGATGATCATGTTACAAACAATGTGGATGCTGCTACATACGATCAATCATAGGTACCTGAGAGTGCGGAGTCTTACTACTGATGACAGCAGCTGATGGTATACGCATGCACACTCACACAGCGCACACACACACACATTGAAGACGAACAACCGCGTAACACACAGAACAGATTTAGCGTGAGTGTAGTGGAGACGAGGTCTTGAGTGACGACACATAGCGGACTGGACATATTCAAACGGATTGTATGCAAGAAATGAACGCAGGTCAGTGCAAGCGAATTAGGTGAGACACGAGACATCAGGACACAGTTGCGAGAGATGATGTCCGATAATTGGCTACTATGTTAATTTATAGCGTCTACTACTTGAGAGCTTACTTAGCGAGCTCCTAGATTAGAAATTTATGCCCATACGGCTCTAACTTCTTCGACATGGGTATCGTTCAATCTCGAGGAGATTAGAGAAAACAGTACACTGTGGGGGGTGGACGGAATGATTTGGGACAAAAGGATACATCTCTATTAAAGGATACAAGACTCGAAAGATGCATGATGGGGTATCTATAGGTACATAGTGTATCAATGGAGTAGTGGATCGCGGGGATGATTACACATATGTTCATCATGCGGATGAGAACATAGATTAGAGTCGTGGCAAAGTAGTTCATCTAGTGCGATAGAGAATGGAGGAGCGTATACAGCACACGTTAAGTACAGCGTGTGCGTGTCGCGGGGGGGTAGATTAGATCTCTGGACGCAGTCGTGAGAGTGGTAACGAGAGAGCATGGCACGCGGTATCATGTCCTCTAAGCTAGTGTATTAGAGTACTGACCACATGCAGAGATACTCTCATCATACATTACATATTTAACTAGATAGTCTTGTAGGTGCACACACGACACGATTCTAGATAGGACTGCAGTCACAAGTGTGGAACACGAGTGCTACTTGTGCAGACGGATCACAGGAACAGAGAACGAGGGACTTAGCGTGTGACAGTCATAGATAGCAATGGTTCATTAGTGTAGATGAGATGACGAGACACTCAAGGACACAATTGTTGGGATAACAAATAGGCGCTCTATTAAGACAAGAGGAGGCGCGGTTCGAGTGTGGATTCTAGATATCTTGACAGAGCTCTGCTCAGTGGAGAGACACAGTCTCTAATGGGTCTTGAGGGCAACACACACATACTATAAATAAAGATTCTTCACGAGAGACTAGAAGAAGTGATGATCAAACTATTACTCGTGCAGGATCATAGTATGATAAGATACTCGAGACACAGATAACTAGTGGTGGTAGAGTGGATGTAGAACAGGCAGAGCATTCAATGCACACGGGAGGGTCTACAGAGAGATGTCCTCTGTATGCCACATCAGTGTGGCGTGGACATGGTAGGAGATTCACGTGAACAGAGTGAGTTAGAGGTTGGACTCTCTACAGCACATTCACAAGTCTCAAGAGCAGAGAACAAACATAATATGTTAGAACAAACACGTCTAGGTAACGCACACATGAGCGATGGGGGGGGATAGGAGACACTTAACTAGCGTGTATCTGGGGGGGGGGACAAAGGACATGCAGAATTCAAGTGGAGGAATGAGCAGAGAGTGAACTAGGGCGTATTCAGACAACAGTAGATAAATAATAGTGCACAGGAACTGACAATTAGTGTGACTGTATTCTCTTAAGATATTTGGAGGGGATTATATAGAGGATTACTCATGGTCATAGAGAGATTTAGTTAGTTTGTACTAGAGGGGACTAGGGAGACGCACTCTGAACGTGAAACAACTCGACTATCATGGTGCAGCGTGGTGTAGATTAGAAGTTACTCTGTCACTGACGAGAGTGTCACACATGAGTAGTTCTCTGATGGTAGTGGCACTGAGAGACACAGCAATGTGGTGTAAGGTCTCATATGCATGGAGGAGCATTAGGACGACATCACACTATGGGACGCGATGATACTGTTACGTATAGATGGGTCTACACAAATTTACTACATCAAACTCACATCACAAATATTACGATCAGTAAACTCACTAATCTCATGATTAGGTGATTATATTATGGAGTGTAATTACTATCTATATAGAAGTTATTGGTCTATAGGGGAGGGGTTTTTAGAATATAGAGTTTTTGAGGGTCTGAGATCTGCGTTGAAGATCATAGTAGTAATGATGAGGGCGGATTGATACGTGGGCGTGAATGAGAGTTGTATTAGAGGGTTATATTGGTGCAGTTATATGAATAGCATATATCGATACATCAGTTAAGATGATACAGAATTTTAGGTACATAACTTGGGATGGCAGAGGTGCTATATACATTGAGTATAGGTGTACTCTAGATACAGCATAGGTGTATGAGAGGTGGAGACAGATTATTGGTTCTCACAGTATTATAGCTCACAGATAGAGCAGAGCGTTGTAGTATTACTGATTTATCTATACTCTGAACTATGAGTAGAAATGAGGAGAAATCTCATTTGATTTTAGGATGGTACTCTATACAAAAGAGGTGTGACAAGGGGAATGAGGAATCAACACATTAGATGAAACAACAGTAGACACTGAGGGGGACAGTTATTTCTCACAGGGTTTGAGCTTCACTGTAGAGAAGAAATCGCAGGACAGTTTATCAACACAGTCAGTGACAATGCACGGGAGACGTGTGTATAGACGTTATACAGTCTCTATGTTCACGCTAGCGAGGTACAACCTTCTAGGATCGATAATGATCACAAAACATAGAGACGCAGTATACACTAACAATTATCTCTCAGATTAACTACTGATAAACATATAAGCGAGGAGCACGCGTCATGACACGAAGATTGTTGACCATATGTCACTAAGATGTGGACACGGATGTGGGCACACCATGGTATCTGATGTGATTATGAGAATTCCTTAGGAACTAGAAGTTAGATATACGATGTTCTGACATGGAACACTCGGATATGACACCATGGATAGTGTCTACTCTGAGTGTCAGCCTGGTGGAGAGTATGAATCACAGAGGAATCTAAATGATTGCACTCAGGGCAGATGCTCTGCGGTTCTAGCACACATGTGGATTAAGGTGTTGTGCTCGTTATATTTAGTTAAGGTGTGAGACAATAAGGAAACGTGGGAGAGTAGTCGATGGCAGGACGAGTTACTGTGAGCGCACACACCTAGACTTCTATAGTATCTTATAAACCATCAAGGCTTATAGGAGAACGTGTATCCAATCTTTATGATAGGTAGGAGCGGATGGTAGGTTTTTGGCGACTACAGTGCGCATATTGATTATATATAACGTTGTGTGCGTGTGAGGTGTGACTAGGTCAAACTAGTCTCTAGGTAAGAGGATAATCGGGATCACATAACGTCACGGCGGTCTTAGGCGATATAGATCAGATCTCACGTATGGCACAGACAGAGTACAAAGTCTAGGAGCACGTATACACATGGACATGTTGACAAGAAGTGTTTAGCACCTCACTATTGACACTACGATCACACATTTATTGAGAACACGAATTATAAATCATTACTATGGAGCCTCTCAAAGTAGAGTCATATACTTCAGGTATAATGTACGATGATTGAGGAGTACGTCGAGAAAACCAATAGTGGAGTGGGCCCGCATGTCATTCTTGAAAGCGTAGACTTAGATATGTGTGAGGCGTATACACTCGGATGTCTGAGAGCTATCATCTTCATGTATGTGCGTTTCTTAGAGTTGATATGATGAGGTTCTACGTTGAGTTAGAGTACTAGACAGAATTATACGTAACAACATAGCAGGAGCGCATACACTTGGACAGCTATGATGGGAGACAGACACGTGAGGTCATCAATGAGGAGAGGTGGTGAGGGGAGCACTTAAGTGGAAGAGAGGGGCAGGTAGGATTATGTGGGTGGTGTGTGTTTGGAATAGGTGTTTGTTGGTGAGGGTTTGTTTATTATTGTAATGTAGTAAGTTAAGCATAAAAGAGTAGATATTAGAGGGTATGTATTTTAAGGAAGTAATTGTAAGGGAATAATTAGTAGGATGGGTTATTAATTTTATAAGTTTGTATGAGAAATGTGGTATTTGTGGAATATTAAATTATAATTGAATTAATGGTATGATAATAGTAGATGTGTGCTTGTTGGAGTGATTATTTATAATGTTGTTTAGGCAAATCATACGGCTGCGTAGTGAGGAAGAAGGTCATGCTTCTAGAGGAGTTAAAGAGGGACACTCCAGAGTTTGGTGGGTGTGTCTGCTTTGCTGTGCTTTCCTTCTGGATAGTTGTGCTTTTCATTTGTCATTTTTTTCAAGTTGATCTAATAATTACTTTATTAGAACAGGTCCTTGGCAAGTCAACGAGCATTTCTGTGTGAGTTTTAGCTACAAAGCATCCATTAAGGGAATTATTAAGCAAAAAGCCTTCCTTTGTTGATTAATGGGCAGCCACTACCAATTACCATTTTTAAACACACACACACACACGCACACACGCCCACCCGGCCGCCCTACTTGCAAAGTGGAATCCTCTCCAGATCTTTCAGGTGCTGAGAAGATAAGATAAGAGTTCCTTTATTCGTCCCAAATATTTCGTTGTTGCAGCGCACATACAGGACAGGAGAAAGAGCACATAGGGAGCACACAATATATACAAAATACGTAGTAGCTATGTTTCTTAACTAGCATAACTGGCTGTAGATGCTGGAAATGCTTCAATACCAGTCGAAAAATATATACATGTAGTAGTGCAGAGTTATGTACTGTACATATAGTGCAGGATAATAAGTAGATAAGTAAAGTGACATTGTTCAGTGGATATTCTGACGTTGCAGTATTGCACATTGCACATGATTTAAGAATTTACTTATTTACAGATGAATGAAATTTACAGGCTCAGCAGTTCTTATTGTACAGTCTGACAGCAGCAGGAAGGAAAAACCTACGGAACCTCTCCCTCACACAGCGAGGGTGAATTAGTCTGTCACTGAAACTGCTCTCCAGAGCAGAGAGAGTGTCCTGCAGGGTGTGACAGTCATGGTCCAGCATAGATGTTAGTTTGCTCGGGACCCTCCTGTCCCTCACTTGCTGCACTGTATCCAGGGAACAGCCCAGGAGTGGGCTGGACTTCCTGATGACGTTGTCCAGCTTCTTCCTGTCCCTCTCTGTGATGCTGCTGTTCTAGCAGACCACACCGTACAAGATGGCTGATGCCACCACAGAGTCATAGAAGGTCTATAGGAGTGGCCCCTGCACTCCTCATCTTGAAGAGGGCGTCTGTGTTATGAGTCCAGTGCAGTTTGTGGTTCAGATGAACACCCAGGTATTTGTAAGAGTCCACTCTCTCAATAGAAGAAATTGCATTTTTCTTCTCCAGGTCCATGCCCTTTGGAGTTACCATTACTATTTAATTTGTTTCGGTCCACAGTGCAATTTCCATCAACTGAAACCCTGATCGCATCATGGCATCCTCTTCCACTCTCCAATCAATTTTTTTTAGACTGAATTGCCTTTACACTGGTCACAACACGTGTATACCCTTGCTCATTCGCACAATTCAGGGATTCAAATATACAGTACTTTTGATCAGGTGCTCCTTGTAATTGTCCTCATATTCCTCTTCCAGGTAGTCTCTGCAGGGAATATGAAGGACAGAATAATAACTAGATCCCCCTCCATTCACAAGTTTTGCCTCATCTGAACCAGTTTCAATGAATTCAGATTGCCTCTCACACCACTCTCTCAGTATTCTCTTCCTGCTTCCCTGTTTAGTTGTTTCTGGAAGCCTTCATTTAGCGGTACCATGTCAGGGTTCACCATGACTAACAGACAGTGCCCATCAATTTCCCATAGTTGCCAACATGTCTGTACAATATTCTGCCTGCTTGATCCGTCCATTTTACTGTGCCTTTTGGTATTTCTTTCACTTTGATAGCCTGTTATGTTTGGGCACCTTTTACCCCCTTGGTTCTGTGTCTTATTTTTTCCGTCCAGGTATTTTTGATTTTTATAAAAAAATTTAAGAATATTATTTATTTATTTTAAATCTTTTATCGCAGTGTCTCCCAAAGTGGGGTCCGCCAAAGGTGATCCAAAAATGTTTTTTTGTTTAAATATAATTATTATATGTTAAATTAATAATATATATATTTGTAAAAAATTTTTTTTTAAATATTTGTGTTTATTATTTGACTTGAATAATCAAATTGTAATAATTTTTGTATTACAAAATGGGGTGCATTTACATGTTTGTAGCAGAGGCTATTTCCCCCAAATAAAATAACGAGAAGAGCCTATTTTTAACATTTTCTTCTTGATTATTATTTCGGGGGGACCCATCAGATTTAAGGGGGCGTTACTGACTTTGGGAATGGCTGTTTTGTACTTTTTTTTTCTTCAAACATATTTTATTGAGTTTTTCCACAACATTTCACAAAAAAACTATGCAGAAAGTGTGGCTTTTTTCGAGAACAGACATACAAAACAAAGACAAAACAAAACTAAAACTAAAATAAAAACATATTAAAAGTTGTAATAGCTCCACACATGTCACAAGTCAATGTCAGTAGCAACAGGAAAGACATATACAAATGTGCCTACACATATACACGTGCTCCTAAACAAAAATATACATATGCACACCTCAGCCACATAACAGTGGGGGCGGGTTCCGGCTCAAATGTGGCCAAAATGACGTGCGCTGACATGCTTGCAATACCACCCCGGGCCGATGGGGGTGGACCCGGAATAAGAATTATTCAATGCTAACATATAGCATCTTCTTACCTCTCGAAAAACTCCTTTACAGGATGGTCCAAAAGTCGGCTCTTGGACAAAAGCTCCGTTCCACATGTGTGTCAATACTGAGAGGAGTTAATTTTTTTGGACCAGTCTAGTTTAGTTGCTGTGCATTTTTGAAGGCACTCGTCAAATGAATGGGGCTCGCGCCCGCTGACGTATGCGCAGATGCGTTTTTTCCATAGACTGTATATATTAATGGACGTAGTCACGCCTATCTTCGCCGTTCTAACTAATGGGCCAAAAATTGGGCTCTCATGGAGTGATTCAAAATGGCCGCGGGGGCTGGAAAATGTGAATTTGGCCAAGCAATTATGACCTATCTGGGGAAACAGGTGGGGGGAGGTCAGGTGCGCCCAGTTCAAGCGAAGGTTGAGTCCATTCTGTCTCGCACAGAGTACCCATCATAGTGTTATTTAGCTATGGTGGGGTATCCATCCATCCATCCATCCATTTTCTTCCGCTTTATCCGTTGCCGGGTCGCGGGGGCAGCAGTCTAAGCAGAGATGCCCAGACTTCCCTATCCACACACACTTCCTCCAGCTCGTCTGGGGGGACCCCAAGGCGTTCCCAGGCCAGCTGAGAGACATAGTCCCTCCAGCGTGTCCTAGGTCTTCCGCGGGGCCTCCTCCCGGTGGGACGTGCCCAGAACACCTCCCCAGGGAGGCGCCCCCCCCCCCGCCTCCGACTCCTTTTAACTTACACAGTGTTTATGAGACCTGCTCCAGTTTCAGATGTCTCGGAACCTTTCCCGAACCGCGTTCTTATCTGGCCCGTCTTAAACACTGCCCCTTTGCTTTGCGTCATTTTTAACCCTACAATATGATTTATGACCCTTGCTCCTGTAGCTTCGCCTCTGCTTCCTCGAGAGGAGGGACTGGATTGGTCCCCCATGATAATGACAATTTCCTCACACATGTTATAGTAACAGTTACTCAAGTTTACTCATAATTTATAATGTCCTAGTTACATACAAACAAGCATCCCCTATAAACCCCCCTTATTATATGTCAAAACCATAAAAGAAAATTGTACACCCATCTTAACAAGACACAACCACATATTGTCCTTTTGCAGTTGCAGCCGGTTTTTTGGCACTTGGTGTTCCCAGAGGTCCCCCATCACAGTACTAACCTTGCTCTGGTGTTCTCAGCTTCTGAGGACTGGAGCATTCTTTCACATGCTGTTGACAACACACAATATTTACTAACAGTTTGCAAAATAATACTTTTCTATTTCAATTTCTGAATTTTTGGTGTCTGTTTACTAACTGCTTTGTGTTGCTTGTAGGTTGGAGGTTTGGAGCAGTTTGTGGTAAGTCAGGCGTGTTTCCGAGTGAATTTGTTCAACCTGTGGCTGCTCCAGACTTTCTGGTCCTCCCTCCGGACCGAGTTGAACCTCGTGACAGACAAGGGCGCGTCGCTGCCTCTGCTGCCGTCGCTGTGGCCATGGGTTCAGCTGTAGCAGCTCATGAGCTCGACATCTCCACTGAGGTCTAGAACTAATTGACTCAGGAGCGTAGTTTGAATATTCTATTAAACTTGTAAACAACATTTCTTGCAGGCTGAATTATACGGAGAAAGCAGTGATCTGGATGATCTGCCTTTACAAAGCAGTCAGTATAACATGTCTGAGTTTGCTAAGAAGTACTTCAGAGAGGCACAGAGGAACAGGTCAGACATTATTTGGCCTTCTGCAACTTATACGTCACCTGAAAATCATAAATTATATTTGTTGCTGATCCTGCCCACAGTGATCAGAAAGCCAAGAAAGGAAAGGAGCTGCGTGATCCAGTTGATATGGTGAAATTCTCAAAGGTAAACAATACAATAATAATATTTATGAACTTGTGATGTGAACATCTTCAGTCTCCTGTTTCATTAGTCCCCAATCCACGAATCCCTGATTGACTTTTCCGACAGTGGAATGAATCGAGTGGCCACAGATATCTTTATAGGTAAGTGAAGATCAAAACATAGAATACAATGGAGTGAAATGCATGAGATTCTAAGTAGTGTTTTATGTTCAGCCATAATGAAGTTCATGGGAGATTATCCACTGAAAAGTCTGACGGAACAGGAGGTAGTCGCCACTATTCTGAAGGTATTTAAATGAGCTTGAGACAAATCAGCTCCTGGATGAAATATGCAAATATACAAATGTACAAGATGTGTTACAATTCTCACCAGCTGAGCCGTGACCATGGCCTGATAAAGGATGAAGCCTATTGCCAAGTGATGAAACAAGTCACTGCCAACACCAGCTCCAAACCGTAAGTTAGTTAGTTATATACTTTATTGATCCCTGTAGGAGAAATTCAGGTGTCCAGTAGCAGCCAAAACACGTCAATCCAAACAAACAAAACAAATGAATTGGTTATTATAAAAAGCTAACAATAGTAATAATAAGCAACAGCACTTCAGGTCACAGCAGCAGAGATGGAGAAGCCTATGGGTGGAGCAGGACAGGTCACAGCAGCAGAAGTGGACCGCCCGCTGGGTGGAGTAGGATGGGTCACAGCAGCAGAGATGGAGTAGCCACTTGGTTCGGAGCATTATCTCTGCTCTAATCCAAAGTAAAATGCTGAATGAATGTGACAGCAGGTGAGCAGCTCCAGACTTCACCCATGTCCACACACAAGGAGGAGCAACAGGCAGTGAAGACTAGTGACACCGCTGGGGGCGTGATAGGACTTGGACACAGCTATAGATGGTTTTTCATCACGTGCTTACCCATGATGCTTTGCGCAAACGCCATGTTGTGGGTCTGGCTTATATTGCACGGATCATTTGTCCCCATGTCATCTAAAGCCACAAACTCGGCCGACGCTGACCGCGTTAAGTAATATACATACACTGGAGTAATCTGTGAGGCAAGATCCTTGGAGAAATTGAGAGTGATCGGAGATTTGGATCCATATGAAATACGGCGAGACCAGTGGATTATTTTGAATGAAGCAGTTAATATCACAGGCCGTAAATCACTTCTACCACCCTTTCCCCTCCTCTCATTCATTTAGAGGGGATTGCTTGAGGCCCATATATGCATGGTATCACAGTCAAATTGCAGCTCTGAATATAATTCAATTTGGAGAGACGAGAAACGAAAATGGTTTTGAGTAATTTATTGAGAGGTGGTTTGGCGCCCTAGGCCCCGGTGCGGCCTTCAGATCGGAGAGGTTCCTGCGATGGAGCGCGTACAATCCCCCGGGACCTAGGCACTGGTGGAGGCAGATTGGAGGCAGATTGGAGGCAGATTGGAGGCAGGGTGAAGAGGAGGAGGAGGGGAGGCGGTGGTTGCGAGGCTTCGAGAAGGCCGAGAGTGGGAGCGGCTGCCTGTCCGGCACGGATGATTGGAAGGGGCGTTTGCTGTGCGATAGGCTGGGGAAGCGATCCGGCCTGGAGGGGGTAGCTTTTGGCTGACGTCTACCAAATTGAATTTTCGCGAGCTGCATTTCAATTTGGAGAGACGAGAAACGAAAATGGTTTTGAGTAATTTATTGAGAGGTGGTTTGGCGCCCTAGGCCCCGGTGCGGCCTTCAGATCGGAGAGGCTCCTGCGATGGAGCGCGAACAATCCCCAAAAAGGCTGTGTGTTGATGGAGTTTTGCAGCCTGGTTTGCAGGGGACAGACGTCGTGACCGCTATCGCTATGCTGTGACCGCTATCGCTATGCTGTGACCGCTATCGCTATGCTGTGACCGCTATCGCTATGCTGTGACCGCTATCACTATGCTGTGACCGTTTATGCGCTAACCATTTTTTGCTATGCTGTGACCGCTAACGCTAACGCTATGACCGCTATCACTGACGCTATGACCGCTATCACTGACGCTATGACCGCTATCACTGACGCTATGACCGCTATCGCTATATGCTGTGACCGTTATATGCGGTTATCTTTGCGCGCTGGGAACGTGAGCGCTCGCATCACGTTCCGTCAGACGCTGCGGCAGCGGAGAGCGTTTGAGAAAAGTGCGTGCCGCCACCAGAACTTATTGCTTCACTTACTTTGCTTCGTATTGCTTTGCTGGGAGCTTGCGAGGAAGCCAGTAGACGTTGGGCAGCCAGGATGGCGGACGCGTCTGGCCTGATGTAGGCGGAGAAAGCCGAAGAGGACCAGCACCCCAGCTGTTGGAGAGGTGGGGGAGCCCCAGCGAGGCCGCGCGCGTGGCAGCGCCTATCCTGAAGGAGTGGGCTGTATAGAGCTGGGGAGACAAATTGCAGAGGAGCAGTAGGGATCTTAGTTGAGCTCTGAACCAGGTTGCTCTCATGGGAAGGTTGTCTGGAGAGAGATGTGTCGGAGCGAGCTATTATTATGTTGCAGGCGCCTTGGTCTTTGAATGTTTGAGATGAAGGTTGAAAGGGTCAGGGGACATTATGTTGGGTGAAAAAGAGCGACCTTTGTGTGATGCTTCCACTACGTCGAGATTATCGCGCATGACAGAGATCCTCTTTCTCTGCCACATGTGATTCCACGGCGCGCAGGCCACGACCACTGGGAATATCTCGTGTAGGGCAGAGGAGATGCTCCGGTGGAAGTAGCGGCCACGGCCCGGCAACCCAATGGTCCTGGAAGAACCCCCCAAAACCCACGGAAGGGGCACGTCCGTGTAGAAGCGGAGACCTGTAGGGGCAGAGACATATTGGAGAGGGCCATTGATGTTGCAGGCGCCCTTACGCTTAGAATCTTGGGTTGGAGAGTAGATAATCAGGATAGTAGGATGGTCGGGAAGCCGTGTCTCGGACCGCATGAAGGTTGAGCGGGCAGTAGTGAACGCTTATGCAGAGAAGCCATAGAAGGCGAGCAGGAAGATGCTGCGAGGAGGGCAGACATGTACTTGGAAGACGAGCCAGAGTTCAGTGCCGCTCAGAGCCGCTGCAGGATGGGCAGCACGATGGGGGAGCCTGCGATCAGAAGAGTGAGGAATACAGGTATGGATGCCTTTGATTAGGAGTCCGATTGACGGCTCAGCGCAGCTACTCGGCCGGCTGCATCTGATAGAATCAGAAGATTAGGTAGAGAGATGAAGCATGACCGCCGAAGCGACCCTGGGAGCATAGGTACGAGGCCAGCGCAGCGCGGCATACTCGGCCGGGCAGCGTCCATTAGAAACAGGATAAGCTTCTGAGAGAGTGGGTTGCAGCAGTAGCAGTAGCAGCAGCGGCAGCAGCAGTACCTCAGATAATACAGCGATAACCTGTATCAAGCCGCGGCAGCAGCAGCAGCAGCAGCAGCAGTAGCAGCATCCTTAGAGATTAACAGTAATAATCCTGTATCAAGCCACAGCAGTAGAATGTTGTCATAGCTGATCAGTGTTTCAGTAAAAGAGATGCAAGTGAAGAGATATGGCAAGTAAATGAAGCAGCAGCAGTAGTAGCAGCAGTAGCGGCATGGAGCAGCAGCAGCAGCAGTAGCGCAGTAGCAGTACGGAGCAGCAGCAGCAGCAGCAGCAGCTGCAGCATCCGTAGATAATAACAGCAATGATCCTGTATCAAAGCCACGGCAGTAGGATGTTGTTGTAGCTGTTCAGTGTGAGGGATTTAAACAGGTTTTACGGTCCAGTGAGAGGGATCCAACAGAGCCTGCAGTTTTAAATTTATTTATTTATTTACTTATTTATATTTATTTATTTATATTTATTTATATTTATATTTATTTATATTTATTTATTTATATGTATTTATTTATTCATTTATCTATTTTTAATATATAGCGTTCCAGATATAGGCAGTACCATATATGCAGTTCCATATACTGCATAACAGTTCCAGGTATAACAGAACCATATAGCAGTTCCAATATAGCGGTTCCATATATAAGCAGTTCCATATGAAGCAGTTCCAGATACGGTACAAAGTTCCAGATATAAGCATTTCCAGATATAAGCATTTCCAGATATAACATTTCCAGATATAAGCAGTTCCAGATATAAGCAGTTCCAGATATAAGCAGTTCCAGATATAAGCAGTTCCGTGAGGGATTAACCTGAGAGCTCACAGACCAAGTAAGGGATTCATTTTGGGAGCCGCAGTCAGAGAGGGATTTAAACAGCGCTTGCAGTCCAAAGAGAGGGATTTAAACAGAGGTCTTGCAGTCCAATGTGAGGGATTAAAACTGAGGTCTTGCAGTCCAATGTGAGGGATTAAAACTGAGGTCTTGCAGTCCAATGTGAGGGATTAAAACTGAGGTCTTGCAGTCCAATGTGAGGGATTAAAACTGGGTTCTTGCAGTCCAATGTGAGGGATTAAAACTGGGTTCTTGCAGTCCGATGTGCGGGATTAAACGGAGTTTGCAGTCAGAGTGAAGGATTTAACGGAGCTTGGTTAAAGAGAGCCTGCAGACAAATGCGAGGGCTTTAAACTGAAGCCTGCCCACCAGCACGGGGCCAACTGAGCCTGCAGTACAATGCGAGGGGAATAAACCGTGCGCAGATCTCATACTTACCCACGCGCCAGAAGACAGGGGACAACACAACGGGACCACGCCATACCGGCACGAGGAGGCAGGGATGCGCACGGCTCCCACCGCACCGGTCCAGACTGGCCGTATGCAGCAGCAGGCCGCGACGAGACGAAGCGGCAAACCCGCGGAAGAGCCCGCAAAGAGGAGAGCTGCGAGACCCACGGACCACAGCACGAGACCCGCAGCAGGTGCAGCCACAGGAGGAGCAGACCACACGCAGCAAGACAGAGGACACCAGGGACACGCACTAGTAAGCGTGAGTAGACGAAAGCGATTCCTCCAGAACGATTCATGCGAGGCTTCGAGAAGGCAGAGAGTGGGAGTTTCTCCGCTTTTAAGCGGCTGCTTGTCCGGCACGGATGATTGGAAGGGGCGTTTGCTGTGCGATAGGCTGGGGAAGCGATCCGGCCTGGAGGGGGTAGCTTTTGGCTGACGTCTACCAAATTGAATTTTCGCGAGCTGCATATCACACATACACGGATTTAGCTAGCTCTTACCTGTTATGAAATGGTCAGAACAGACCTTAAAGCGCCGTTTTTCAGGGGGTTAGGGTTGAATCCCTCTCGGTTGATCCTCGCCAACTAAAGGGTTCTTGTCTCCGTCGAGAGTCGCTCTGTCGCTCACAATCTGCACGGTCACTGCACCCCCAAACAACGCAGGTAGTCGGCATGTTTTAGCGCACAAAAAGTGATGTGCTACGCTTTGTTTACCTACAAATATCGGCGGCTAGACCCACAATATGGTGAACTGTGGAATTGTGAGTAGTGCGTGACGTCAATGGAAAACCATCTATAGCTACAGCTCCACGGCTAATGAGTAGCACACATAACTGCTTCCTTTTGTGTTTATGTGAACAGCAGAGAGACGATACAGGGAGGGTGTCGGGTAGTACACAGGACATTTTCATGTGATCAGAGCGATTGTCAGAGCAGAGTTTATAGACTTATTATTTAGAAGCAAAGCAATATGGCAAGTTTATTTGTATAGCACAGTTCATACACAAGGCAACTCAAGGCGCTTCACAAAATAAGCAAATTAAGAGTAGTAAAGAGAGTGACGATACAATCCTTCAGTTGTATGTGTAACCCCTGAGTCATAAAATAATGCTTAAGCTAAGTACAACTAATGAGAACCTACAAAATCTAATATTGTTATAACACATTAAGTAATATGTAATAAACGTGTAATAAAAAAATAACGTAATTGAGTTGTAATAGGCTAGTAGTCAGAAGTCTAGATTTGGCTCAAGGAGGGAGTGGCAGGAGACTGAACAAGTTTAGTTGGTACCATGTATTAACAAAAGACAAATCAACAAACAATAAAGTGACACAAACATATACCCAAACTCAGTGAATGGCCATTCAATGGTAACACGTGTTTCAAATCAATAATCATTAACTACACAATGTAAACAGTATAGTACAGAAGTCAATACATTCACACATTCAAAAGCAACCAGTTGTAAAATAGAGTAAAACAAAACACAGCCCGTGGCACAGTTCATACGTTAACACACTCTGGGTTTGACCAGTTGACCAAAGGGAGGCGGTGCACAAGGGTTTGTGAGGTGTGGTTGTGGTTGGGTGGGCAAAAGTTCTGTGCCAAGTTGGGGAGAGAGTTTGTGGGCTGCAAGGAGCCCCCTACCGGCCAGCAGGGAAGATGCGAATAATGCGGCTCAAGATCCAGTGGGCTCTGTAGGCTCTAGGCGTGGTCCTTCAGCTCACTATCAGGGTCAAAACCTGGCCGGTAGAACAGGACCAAAGCTCAAATCAAATACAAAAGCTAACTAATAAATAGCTAAGCTCTAGCATGCACACAATTCTACAATATAGCACAGGTTGTACTATCAATAGAATAATCATACAGTAAAATCCATATCAGTAGAACTAGTATATAAATATTTACAGTACATATAAACACAATGTACTAGCTGTAGTCATTCAACAGTACAAATCAAACATTCAATTGGTTCAATACACAGTCAATAAGTTAAACAATGAATGCAATTATATCATTAAATAACATTCATATATAAAGGCAAAACATTATTAATGGACAGAGCAGGCATAAAGGCTGCTTGCATAAGGCACATGCTAACCACTTCAGTAACAAAAAATGGCTGTGGCTATACATGGTCATGCTAAAGTGTGAAATAAGCTACACTCACCAATTCCTTGCATTCTTCCTGACAAGCGAGCTGATTCACTATTCTTTGGCACAAATAGAGGGCTCCTAAATTAGGTAAGTTTAAACAATAAACATCAAGCAGAACACAAAGGCATCGAACAGTAAAGTGAGCACACTACACACCTGCCGCCACTCCCTACCAAGCCCCGGTGATCCAAGATGGCGCCCTATTCCAATAAATGGCTTGTGCTCAGAGCGCATGGGACTTCATGGAGACCGGGAGATTAGCAGAACTCGCCTATATTTGGGCATCATCTGATCCTCCCGGTTCTGCGCAGTGGATTATCTCCCATGATGCGTTGCGCCAAACGTGTGTGTGTGGCTTTTATTTACGCGCACAGAGGGGCTCGCCCGCGCTCTGACCAATCAGAGCAGTTCATCAGAGCAGCGGAAGAGCGGAGCCAGAGCGGGTAGGAAACGAGCAGAGTTTGTGGCAGTAAAATATGGATTTAAAGAAAACCGAAGGATTTAAGAAGAACAAAAGTTCAGGATGGCAAGGGACACTAAAATCCCCACAAAATCCGATCTTTATAAAAGCTGTAGGTTCTCTGTCAGCTGAGGTCGTGCTGTTTTAATTTACATTGAGATCTATGGGACTTTTTTCTGGGTAGCCCTTGTGAATTTAGTCTGTAGTACCACAGGCACTCCCTGTGCCCGTAGGTGGGAGAGCTGTAAGCTAGTAATACCCTATCCAGTTATTATTATAGATCCATGCTCCCTACACAGCTTCCCCACATCACTGTTTGAACCTGCTTTCCTCTAACCAATAAAACCATGCATTGACTAGAAGGGATCTGATTGGCTAATGGGTGGAGCAAGCAGTAGGCCAAGCAGTGGTACATTTAAAGGGGCAGAACACCAGCAGCCACAAACTCTGCTCCTTTTCTTCCCGCTCTGACTCCGTTCTGCTGCTGCTCTGATCAGCAGCTCTGATTGGTCAAAGCGCAGCCAAGCCCCTCTGTGCGCATGCACAAAAGACACACACGAGCATTTGGCGTGAGGCATCATGGGAGCTCGTCCACTGCGCAGAACCGGGAGGACCAGACGAGGCCCAAATATAGCCGAGTTCAGCTAATCTCCCGGTCCCCGTGAAGTCTCATGCCCTACTGAGCACAAGCCATTCATTTGAATAGGGCGCCATCTTGGATCACCAGGGCTTGACTGGGTTACATATGCACAGCTAAACATTAACAGCTAAAACTGTTCCAGATTTTCCAGATTTTATATAAAGATATGCCTGATAGTCCAGCAAATTCTGTATTTTGGGTTAGGGTATATTGCCTTACATGTTATTTCCTTATATGGGTGTGTTTAGGGAAAGCTGTCAAAAGGGCTGGAGGCTTCTGTATATCCTGACCGCTTTTCATCGCTGCTCTGATGTTATGAAGCCTTTCCTCATGAAGTTTCTGTTGGACGCATGTTCTGGTCCAGGTGTTCAGTATCAAGGTGCAAAGAACAATTGTCCATTACTTCTGCGCTTTTTAATACAGTGTACTATTCTACACTGACTATGACTTTGTTTTAGGTATCGCAAAGGCCTGTGAGCAGAATCTGCGGAGGACTTTTACATATGGTGGACGTATGCAATATCCAAACAACATGGAAATAAAGGCTATGTTGGTGAGCCGATGTTTGTCTCTAGTCTTTAATAGTTATTTGAGTGATCTTATCTTTAAAGTGATAGTATGTAATTCTAAATTAATTAAAACATTTTAAGAATTGTTGTAGGGGGCGACAGTAGCTCAGTTGGTAGAGCAGTGGCCTTTGAGCCTGGAGATCGTGAGTGCGATTCCCACCATGGGACCTACTCCAACTGCTCCCACTGATGTCTACTGTCGTTGTGTCCTTGGGCAAGACACTTAACCCCACGTTGCCTGAAGCCCCTGCTGAAACACCAAGGCTGTTTCACCACTGACAGAGCAGCCATCTTCCTGTGGACTCACCCCCTGCAGAGGATCAGCAAGGGACTGGTGCTATGAGCATTGGGTGGCAGCTCTCATTGCCACCCCCCTGACCCAGAAATGGACAATAAAGGGCTTGAAAATGAATGAATGAAAGAATTGTAGTAAATTGACCTCCTGGCCTTAAATGTTGATATAAAATAAGTAATTTTATTAATTCTAATATTACAGTTAAGTCCCGCCTTCCCTTCTCTTAGCTATAGCTCAGAATCCACGATGTCGTCCACGTTAACCAATCGAGTCATGCCAAGGGCTGTCAATCATCGCGCTGATGCTCGTAGCTGCGCACATGCTCAGTTGTTTGTTTTCGCGGAGCCTCCGAATCAAGCCTCCATTAGGCTCTGGAACTACATGAAAACGAATGAAAAAGAATTCTGAACATCCACGCTGAGTTACTCATTTATATACTGAACCTATATCCATAATCAGATCCTCTGTAGATGTGTCCTATAATGTTCAATTCATGATAATAGCTTCTTCCGGGTTTGCCGCGATCGTTTTTTTGTGTGCTTTAAAACATTATTTTTTTCATGAAAACGTTAACAAATAATTCTGAAAACCTCTGTGCATGTGTATTAATAATGTATATGTATAATGTGTTCTCTGATTAACATTTAAATGTTTTACGGAAACGTAGGTGTAGACCAATCAGAAAGGAAGGGGGAGGGAGCTTGCGTCGTTTTTTTCAAATCAAGTACCTCGCTCTCTCTTTCTGACAAACTGCAGACAATCACAAAGTTTTTCTTTGGTTCACAGGCTGGGAGAAGTTCCAAGAGGCAGCTGTTCTTACTGCCTGGTGGGATTGAGAGACACCTGAAAATCAAGACATGCTCTGTAAGATACATACAATTGAAACAAAATGATGATGTTTTACAGTATATTTTCAAATTATAATATTTAGATGTTTTATTTAGGCTTATTACAAGCTTTGAGCCAATTATCAACTATAACAAATGTGGGCTTGATATACAGTGGTCCCTCATTTATCGCAGGGGTTACGTTCTAAAAATAACTTTATAACGTAATAACTGCTACAGTATATGAAAAGTAGCAGCTGTTTGTTTAAAGGCGGTAAAACCCCTCACCACACACTTAATACACTTTTCTAACCACCTGAACTCACGACTGCTGAAGTGCGAATGAGGTAATATCGAAAGAGTGCTGCTGCAGCTGTCAAAAGCCGTGCATACAGGAAGTCCTCTGAACTAATCACAGCGGTGCACTCAAGCCACAAAAGTTTTCTTCTGATTTTAAATAAAGGTAACTGTCATGTTATACTAGCGGTTGATGCTGCATGAAGTGCATGCTTTGAAACATCAAGGTTGTAAAAGATGAACCACGTTTTAGCAAGGGACCACTGTATCTCACTAGTGTGTCATAAGTCTGTGTTCATTTGTCTCACATAAGTTTAATTACAGATAATAATTGTATGTGGACTTCACTCTTACAGACTTACCGTACATCATTTATTTTCTGTTTTACCTGCCCTCCAGATTCTAAGATTATGAATAGATTTTGTTGTTTAATTGTTACTTGTTTAATTGTTAGTCCATTTTATCTTATCTTATTTCACTTTTTTTCTTTTAGGTTGCTTTGGATGTCATTGAAGAGCTTTGTTTTGAGATGGAGCTGCACAGAGAGGAAGCTTTAGAGGAATATGCTGTCTTTTTAGTCACAGACAAAGGTATGGAGAAAAAACAAATGTATTCTCATCCTTGGTATTTAGTACTTGATATTGAACCATGTTGTGTTTAAGGTCAGAATGTGCGGCCCCTGAACAAACGAGAATACATCCTGGACATCACTACAGAAGCTGAGACGGTGGATCCCAGCTACAGCCTGTGGTTTAGACGAGTCATATGGAGTTTGCCTCTCAAGTTGGACAATGAACTATATGTCACCATGCATTACAACCAGGTCAGTACCTCACATGTTTAAAGCTGGTTCATTAATAGCACATTGAGTTTGTCCCAGGGGAAATATTATATTGTATAAAATATGTATAAGTAACATTTTGTGAACAAATTAGTTATCATGAGTAAATACGTTATTTTGTTTATACGTACTTGTAAGAAAGAGCCCTGTGAGTTACTAATTGACACTGATTGGCGAGGTCGTTGGGGGTACGTGCGGGGAGCAGCGCGGAGGTGGGGGTTAGAGCAGAGGGGGATTTCACACCTTTTTCCCTCGCGGGTGTGAAAGAGGGACCCCGCTGTGCAGCGTTTCTGAGGCTGAGTTTACACAGAGACAATGTGGCAGTAAAACGGTATAGTTGGTTGTCGGTTGCTACCAACCGTTCATACGGAGACTGTGTTTCAGGGGGGTGAAAACGTAAGTGTTCAGATCCAGCCTGCAGAGTGGGACAACTCAGAAACGCTACACAGCAGGGAGCTCTTTCACACCCGCGAGAGGGAAAAAGGTGTGAAATCCCCCTCTGCTCTGACCCCCACCTCCGCGCTGCTCCCCGCACGTACATTTGGACATGCGCAGTAGCGGAGAACAAACCAAAACAACAATGGCGCTGCGCACACTAACTAGCTTCGTGGGCTTCCAGCGCGGGGCAGAGGATAATTCTACTCCTTCGTTCGTCCAAACGAGACCACGCAAAGCTCTAGGTTCAGTTTCCATGTTCACAGCTGCTGAAATAAGGTCCCATTCCTTCAACAATCGTTTTAAATATGGGGATGTATCGTGTACCTCTGGTCGAGTCTGCTGTTGCGCTTTCCATTGGCGTAGCAGGGCCAGGTCTGGGTCTTTGGCTCCACTCTCCCATATCCAGCCCGATTTCAGTCTGGTCTGCGATAGTCCTTAACACTCTGGTAGCACCTTCAGGCAACCTAGACAACGCATCAGCATTACGATTTTGTATTCCTGGACGGTACTTTATATTGTACCTGAAGTTTGCCAACTGGGCTGCCCATCGCTGTTACACAGCCCCCAGCTTTGCACTCTACAGATGCACTAAAGGGTTGTTGTGTGTTAATACTGTAAACTCTGCGCCGTATAGATAGTCCTTAAACTTCTCTGTGACCGCCCACTTCAATGCTAACAATTCCAATTTAAAGGAGCTGTAGTTCTGATCGTTACGCTCTACAGGTGACAAACTACGGCTGGCATAGACTATCACGCGTTCCTTATCATCTTGGACTTGTGCCAGGACAGCCCCTAATCCCTAAAAACTGGCATTGGTATATAGGCGGAAGGGTTTCGAAAAGTCTGCATAGGCCAGTATTGGGGCATTGAGTAACACAGTTTTCAGCTTGTCAAATGCACCCTGACATTCTACAGATCAATTCACCAGTGCGGTCTTAGGGGTATTAGTTGTATTCCGTGTTAGGGCGTTCAACAGTATCGCAAATTTTGAAAAGTCTGGGATGAAACGCCTGTAATAACCTGCTAAGCCAAAGAAGGACTTACCTGCTTCACGGTTTTGGGTGTGGGCCACTCTTTCACGGCTGCAGTCTTCTCTGGGTCAGTTGCTACCCCTTGCTCACTGATTACATGGCCAAGGTAAGTCACCTTCTGTTGGAATAGGCTACACTTCCTTGGTTGTAGCTTCACCCCATGTTCATCCAGCCGCTGGAACACTTCTTCAAGATGGCGGAGGTGGCTATCAAAATCTGCAGCCATAGCACCATCTCAGAAAGGGGCGGAATGGTTATTGGGGATTGGCGTGGTTGCTTGGCAACCCCCTGGTAAGCTGGTTCAGGACTCTTCATGGACACCCTCTGGCATTCCGCAAACGCCTGCGCCCAGACCTGGCCTTCAACAATTGGTAACAGAGTCCGAAAAGCTGCCAAACTCGGGTGGCTCTCTAGAGCAGCCCTGGTCCATGAAGGGACATTCCAAATGGTGGTGGGGCCTTGATGGTGGGCTCTTGGTCCAGGACAATCGCCCCCACTGCTTGGCCCGCAGCTGCAGGGGGAATTAAAAATCCTGTGTCTTCGTCTCCCCTTCGTCTTCCAATTCCAATTCTAAAGCACAGGCTTCCTTGCATGCACCTGTAAACGTCAGGTCGGTATTGCGTCGCAATAAGCGAGTTAGCTCTTGTTTCCCAGGGCCTCTCTTTAAACCCACCATTAGTTGGTCTAATAGCAAGTCATTATAGCTCTCTGCTGCAGCCCTTTCCAATTCTTGTCATTTGTAAAAGTGTTCTCTGAGTCTCAATACAAAAGCATTTATGTTTTCGTCAGCCCTTTGCTTACAGTTGTAAAAACTAGTTCTCAATTGCGCTTTAGTTGGACACAGTGAAGTCTCAAACAGGAGGGAGAATGGGGCAGAGAGCCAGATAAAAGTACAGGAGGTAAGTATACTACACGTCCCTTCTCTTAGCTTGTCTTGGCGTTTCTGGGTCTCCTGCCCCTGCAGCCTGGTCCCGCTGGTCCGCTCGTAGCCTCCTGGCCTGGTCTTGCAGATCCGCTCCTGGCCTGGTCCCGCAGATCCGCTTTGGCCTGGTCCCGCAGATCCGCTCTCGGCCTTTTCGTGTGTAATGTCTCTTGTCCAAAGACTCAGTTTCCGCACCGCCAGACTCCTCCCCCCTTCATTCATAATTTCCCCTTTTTTAGCTGGGACGAGCCGAGTCTACCAATTGCTGTCTGGGAGGAGTGGACTGCTCCACAGCCTCTGCCGTAGTCCAATCTACTCAATTCACATGCAGGCAAACACAGCAAACTACAATAAAATATACACACTTGAATGCAAAAGATAACGCTGCGCTGGTTACGGTTGTGCTGGACCTACGCAGCCACAATTGCTGGTACACTCACACTTTCCCCTTGCAGAGTTTTGAAGAGAATGTTGTAACCCCACACCCAACCACATGATGGCAAACTCACAGGAGTTGCCTGAGCGGTCCTATTTACATTGCTACTTTCTCCTCTTCAGAACAAAAACATTATAAAAACCAAGCTGTTTGAGCTCATTACATGTGTATCTAATGTAGGTTTGTGTGCTAGTTCTATGGACTCATTATTTCATAAGTAATTTCATCTGTGATGCTGTGAATAAAGACACAGTTCTTGTTGGAAACATAGTAATTATTAAGTTTAATTCCGCACAAGCATCAAAACAATAAGTGATAAATATCTGAGACCAGACATTGTGTTTTTAAGTTATTTTATGGGGATCACACACTCTTTGCTGGTATATGAACGTTATGAGTTGCTAAATATCAAAGCAATAGTGGACAATAGTGCGAAGTACAGCTTTGATGGCACAAACAAGTCGCGTCCCTCTTACCTGTCAGATGTCCCGGATTACCTCCTCCGTGTTCAGGCCCTGCTGCCCAAGAAACGCAGGTGGCGCGGGGTGCGTAGTGTCCGCCTAGTCAGGTTGAAGTCCTGGCTTGTTCTTTCACCGGAGCTGTTGAGGTTTCCAGCAAATATTCTACGGGACTATGAGGCCTGTTGCCGCCGCTTCCTCACTCAACGTCAGCTGGCCCCTCTCATTGTGGCTTGGCTGCAGCCTGTCTGTGGACCACAAGACTATCCCCGGACCGTGCACCGTGGCCTGTCTCGTCGTCACCGGGGATTTGGAGGCGCAGACGCCTTGATGAGGGCCACTCCGGTAGCTGTCGCGCTCCAGGCGCAGCTGAAATGTGCACTTTTGAATGCAAGATCCGTGGTAAACAAGACCTTCATCCTCCATGAGTTCTTCACAACGCACACGCTGGATGTACTTTTCCTGACGGAATCGTGGACTCGGGCAGGTGAGTCAGCCCCTTTTTCTGAGTTAATTTCGCCGGGCTGTACTTACATTAATGCTCCGAGATCCACTGGACGCGGAGGTGGCATTGTGTCAATTTTTAAGAACAGCGTGAGTTACAAGCCGCTGACTACAGTCTCCTTCGCCTCCTTTGAAAGGAGCTGCTTTGAACTGGGGCAAAATGAGCCCGTGTTTCGCGCGGTGGTCTACATACCACCAAAGTACAATAAGGGCTTCATCTGTGACTTTGCAGAATGTGGCCCCCATAATGACGAATTATGAGAGGGTTTTAATAGTAGGGGATTTTAACTTGCATATCTGTTGCCCCTCTATGCCTATGGCTAGGGATTTTATTAAGCTCACTGATGGTTTTAATTTTGTGCAACATGTGGACAGACCCACTCAGATACATGGAAATACGTTGGATTTAGTTATGTCGTGTAATCTGTCTATACATGGTGTTTTTACTGGCGATAATATTATTTCTGATCACTGTCCTGTTTTCTTTCACTGTATGATTAATAATCCTGGGAAAGAGTCTGGTCCGGTACGTTACTGCCGCGCCCTTAAACCTGATAAACCGGCATCGTTCTGTCCTCTTTATATTGATAATGTACAGTCTGCTTTGGGGGACCCTTCCCTTCAAGACACAGAGGAGTTGACAAACTCTTTCTTAAACATATGTTCCACTGTCCTGGACTCCGTTGCTCCGCTGAGACGCTCGCGTCCCAAAGATACTCCTGTGCCGTGGATAAACACCACCACTCGTGAGGCTCGGCGCAGGTGCAGACAGGCGGAGAGAAAGTGGAAGAGAGACCAGTTACATGTGTCTTATGACATTTAAAATGACAGCTGGAAAACGTATCAGAAAATAGTGAAAGAAGAGCAGGTGAAATATTTTTCGATTTGGTATCGAATAATGTAAATAATTCACGTCTTTTATTCCAAACTATTGGATCTGTTTTAAACCTGTCCAAATCCACTATCATAGGATGCACTGTTGAAAGATGTGAGGATTTCTTATCCTTCTTCAGTAGAAAGGTTGCTTCAATTAGGGCAAATTTAGTGTTCCCGACCTGTAGTTTGTTTATGAACACCTGTGGCTCAGCGGTTTTTTCATCGTGTGAGCCTGTGTCTTTAGGGTCACAGTCAAAAATGGTAAATGGAATGAAAGCTTCTTCCAGCCCTTTAGACCCCGTTCCTCCAAAGTTGTTTAAGGAGGTGTGGGGAACAATTGGCCAAAGTGTGTGTCAAGTCATTAATAGTTTGCTTTCTAGAATTGTGCCCTCCTTTTGTAAGCAAGCTGTGATTGAACCGCTCCTTAAGAAGCAGAGTCTTGATCCCTCCAATGTTGATTATTTTAGACCTATATCAAAGCTTCCTTTTTTGGCTAAAATATTGGAGAAGACTGTTCTTAATCAATTACAGCCATTTTTAGATGAGCACAATATTTAAGAATGTTTTCAATCAGGCTACAAAGCCCTGCAAAGTACAGAGTTAGCTCTTTTAAAGGTTTTTAATTACCTTCTTTTGATGACAGACTGTGGAAATTCTGCCATTTTAGTGCTTTTAGACCTGACTGCAGCTTTTGATACCATGCAACTCTTTTAAACCGCCTGAACGACTGTGTTTGTGTCAGAGGGACTGCATGAGACTGGTTCAGGTCGTACCTGTCTAGGAGATCCTGCAGGGTCAGACTGGGGGACTCCTCCTCTTCTGCCGAGCCTTTACTCTGTGGAGTTCCCAAGCCCCGGCGATCCAAGATGGCGCCCTATTCAAATGAATGGTTGTGCTCAGTGGCGCTTTGTGACGGCATGGGGGCTGAAAGGTTAGCGGAAGTCGCCTGGAACTCGCAAAGATCTATGGGAAACTCGCAAAGATTTATGGGAAACTCGCCTGTATTTGGGCATCGTCTGGTCCTCCCGGTTCTGCGCAGTGGATGATCTCCCATAATGCGTTGCGCCAAACACGCGTGTGTGGGTCTCACACCGGGTCTCACGCACGTGCACAGAGGGGCTCGGCCGCGCTCTGACCAATCAGAGCAGTTCATCAGAGCAGTTCATCAGAGCGGGAGTTAGAGCGAGAGCCAGATGGGCAGAGTTTGTGGCACTAAAGTGTGGATTTAAACAAAACTGAAGGATTCAAGAAGAAAAAAAGTTCAGGATGACAAGGGACACTAAAATCCCCACAAAATCCGACCTTTATTAAAGCTATAGGTTCTCTGTCAGCTGAGGTTGAGCTGTTTTAATATGCATTGAGTTCTATGGGGAAAATTTCTGGGTAGCCCACGTGAATTTAGTCTGGTCTAGGCTGCAGTACCGCGAGAATCCCCTGAGCACATGAGTTATTCAGCTACAAGCTAGTAATACCCTATCCAGTTATTATAATAGATCCATGGGAGTTCCCCAGGGGTCAATTCTTGGCCCATTTTTGTTTTCTTTATATCTTCTCCCACTGGGGGCCATTTTTAGTAAACATGGCCTCTCGTTTCACCTTTATGCTGATGACTGCCAGATCTATATGCCCATTTCTAAACAAAAACAGGGCCCTCTGACACCCCTTCTGGACTGCCTTGGTGACGTCAAGGCTTGGTTGGTCCAAAATTTCTTATGTTTAAATGAGGGGAAAACTGAAATAGTTTTGTTTGGGCCCACGGATCCCTCATTGGACCTGGGCACCCTTAGGAATAAGGTTCATCCCTTTGCCACCAACCTTGGCGTCACCATGGACAGTGATTTTAACCTGGACAAGCAGATCAGCACACAGTCGTTAAATCAGGCTTTTATCACCTTTGTCTTTTATCTAAGGTATAGCCTTTTTTATCTTTTAAACCTTTTGAACAAGTCGTGGACTACTGTAATGCACTTTACAGCGGAATTTCACAGAAGGCACTTTCCCGCTTACAGTTAATCCAGAACTCAGCGGCACGACTTTTAACAGGAACCAAAAAACGTGAGCACATTTCTCCTGTTTTAGCTTCTTTGCACTGGCTTCTTGTTAATTTTAAAAACTGATTTTAAGATTTTATTGTTTATTTTTAAAGCTTTGAATGGACTGGCCCCTCCTTACATCTTGGACCTCATCCAAATTTATCACCCGCCCTGCGCGCTGAGGTCCGAGGGCCAGCTCCAGCTCGTGGTGCCTAAGACGAGGCTTAAAACCCAGGGCCTTCTCTGTGGCCAGGCTAGTTGTAGAGGGTGGTACTCTTTTTTCAAATGTTGATATGTATCATGACATAGTTTTTGGGGTTTGAAAGATAGGTACCCCAGCTTTAAGTTGTACACTGCAAAAAAATGATGAAATATTTGATAAGAATTGCTTGAATTAAGTATATTCTGACTGTCTTAAAACAAGATTTGCCAATGGGACAATGCCATATAGTCGTATTTCAAGAGCTGTTGCTTTTTTTTTCTCATTCCAAGGGAGTATATTTCTAAAACCAAAAAATTGCAAAAAATTAGCTGAAATTAAGATACTTTTGTCTTTTTTGTTGTTGCAGTTTTTGACTTATTTTTCATCACTTTTTGCAGTGTAGGCAGTACATTCACCACTGCATTGTCCTTAATTTGAATATAAAGAAATTGTTCTATTCTGTTATAGGTGTTGCCAGACTTCTTGAAAGCGTTGCTGAGTGTGATCCCGCAGGGAAATGTCAGTGATCAGCATCTTCAGCAGATCGCGAGATTATCAGCCCTGCAGCATCGTGCCAAAGATACTATCTACCTGCCAACCCTGTGAGCACATGTTCCATAAATGCAAAACAGTATTTATCTTTTCAAATATACCCATCAGAAATATCACAAACCAGGTCTAATCTAAACAAGGTCTAATGAAAGACAGGGTCAGGATAAGTAGATCTGGGGAGAATGTTTGAGAACCATTCTTCTATTTGTTAAAATACATGCCATGTTTCAATAAAATGTTTTTATTTATTTTTAATTTATAGCCGTGATGTGCAGGAGTCTGTCCCTCCACCGTTTTACTCCAAACAAGGTTCCCAGCCTTGGTTGAACATGGTGTCTCAGCACATGCAACACGTGCAGCCATTAAATCCACATCAGGCTCAAGCTCAGTTTTTGGGTAATTTATTATTGTATTATAAACTAAAAAAATATTCTCTAATATTTGATTTCTTCTCTACCACAATAACCCTCCTATTCCAGCTCTATCTTCTGCCCTTTCCTCTGCCAAGTGTCTCTTACCCTAACAACATGTAGCCAATCTAAATGTACAACAGTATTAGTAGAGAAAATGCTATGTATATGTTTATGTATCTTTTTTTCATCTGCAGGCCTGGTCAGTGCCTTCCCAATGTTTGGATCCTCATTTTTCTACATTCAAAGTTCCAGCTCTGCTTCTGTCCAAGCCCCCTGCATCCTGGCAGTAAATCTGAATGGACTTCACTTTCTCCACAAAGACACTCATGTAAGAAGACAGATAAGTGGATATGGTTTGAGCAAGGATATGGCTCCCCCTGTTGGGCATTGGCTAAACATACGACATAATGATTGTTGACATTGTCTAAAGTAAATATTTTTCTGAAGGCTGACCACAGCAATTTGTGGAAAAATGGAAAAGGAATTTGAATAGCGATCAGTTCCAAGTGCCAAAATAGAACCTTGAAATCTAATTCACCACAAAAATATTGATTTCAACAACAATTCAATTAGACAAAGTTGCCTATTCGCCAACAACAGATCAAAGAATCAAACGGTTTGAACACAGGAAATGCAGTAATAACACATAGAAGCCATTGGTCCATAGGAAACGGGATGACCAACAAATGTGAATAAATGCGCTTAAATATCCCAGATCAAGTTTGACATCATTCTTATTGCACCGATAAAGTGGCTGTTAGCTGGTTGAGAAGGATGATGAACAGGGGCTGTTCAAATGAGGGAATGGTAGTTTCATAATAATGCATCAGTTTTTATATAGCTTATTTGCATGCATGTTTTGTCTGTTCTATATTGATTTGAATTATATTGATTGCAAATAGAAATCTAAATTCAGCATTTTACTATAGGAAGCTATGGTGCGTTTCCCTCTGAAAGAAGTCCAGTCGACCCGGACCCAGAGACCCACCTCTGGCTCCAGTTACCCCTACGTCGACATCTTGATTGGAGACTTGTTAAATCAAAGGGTCACACAGCTGCAACTAGAGCAGGTAAGTGTTACAGTGTTACTTTTGTTCCTTTTTTAATTCACTGAAATTGATTTTGTTATTGTTTTACATTTAGAGTTTGGAGTTATGCCGGGTCATTGCGATGCACATGGAAAACCTGCTGTCAGTAAGAGACAAGAGACTTACCCTGCCCCCAAGTGAGATCACCCTGCTGTAGCACTCTTCTGACATACTGTATCTACCTCTAAATTAGAATCCAATATTTTTATATTCTACAAGTACAATGTCATCCATTCAATTTGTTTCTGTTTATTAAGAGTTTCTGCTTTTAAATATACACATTTGTTATTACCAAAGGTCAAAATATGCATCTAAATATGAAGCTTAGGAGAAACTTGTTAAAAATGTTTGCACTATAAGGTGCATTGTGCAACTTTTCAGACATGGTCCACCAGCTGCTTGTGGTCATGAAGATGCTATGGCTTTTTTGAAAAGCATCACAGTATGCACATTATTTACTTATTGATCTTTTTAATTCTTAAAAACTTGAATTCTTTCATGGGTCGGCTCTCCTTAAAGTAGCAATATGTAAGATTTTCATGTCAAGTGATCCTTAAATGGTCCTAATATGTCAAAGGGCATTAATAAACCATGCTCTTTTCGAAAAACTTCTTTAACTGATAACAGTTGTTCAGCCGAGAAATTAGTTTCTTAGTTTTATAGCCTGTAAATCTTGTTATTGTTTTCATTGCGATGTCCCCCCTCCACCGTTTTAACAATCAGAAAGTCTGGGTTACCAGAACTCACTGTGCCGAGCTAATCTCATTGGTAAAGTAACATGTGGCCACAGAACTAAACTCGTTATGATTCTCAAATCATTAATGACAAAACAAGGAATAAAACCAGGATTTCTATCGAGGCCTTTGTGAAAACGGTGTTGGTTTAGATCCGTTGTTCACAGATATTCAGATATTATGTTCCCACCTGGATTCGTCTGTATATCTGGCAACCTGAGTCAGGGAGAGTGGGAGAGGTTTCAGTACCACTTTTGGCCAGATTTTGAAATACTGCTCCTTTATTAAAGTCTGTCCCTTGGTTTTGGATGTAGTCGGATTCAATAACAATAACAACAAATATTACAAAAATAAACAAGATACAAAATAAACATGAATACACAAATAGAAAATGTGTCCTCTAGTTACAATCTTCAGCATTTTTGTTATTGGGAGTAAGGATTATCTGGCAAAAAAACCTTTTACCTATATTTCAAATGGCCAAGCAAAAAGGGCCACCTGGAAAGTTGCACAATTAACTTTATTTGTTGTAGATATTTGATTTAAAAAAAAAATTAAATATATGTACACTTTTATAGTTTCCAGCCTTTTTTTATACTAAATGCACATTTCTGTCAAAAGGTTAATATTAAAATAAATTCGTTTCATTTTATGCAAATGACTTCCCATGTCTGTCTTCAACTGTGTTCATCTCATGGTTCATCCCATAAACTGTTGTTGTTGATCCATTACTGTAGTTCATCCATGTACTAACTACTAAGTGTGCGCGCGGTACACCCCTAGCATCAAAACGAGCACCCCTTGAGTGGCTCGCCGTGTGTGTGGGTGTTTCTGAATAATTGGGAGCAGATTTCTTCACACTCATTGGTTAGAGGCTGGTTCCGTGAGAACACAATGAAAGGAGGGGGCCCGTGTGGTCAGACCCACCGCGACCCACACATAGCAGGAGGGGAAAGAGGAGGTTTGTAGCCCTGAACAGCAGCATCAACTTCAGCCTCGCTCCCAGCTGCACGGGTGCTAGTCTGTTAGCCGCGTAGCATCACCCTCCAGAGAGAGACACGCCGAGAGAGCACCGGGCTATCTCCTCCGGGACCTGCCTATAGCGCCTACACCCGCTGCTTCTCACCCCAAATACGGCCTCAACATGATGAAGTTTAGGTTTCGTCGGCAGGGCACAGATCCACAGAGAGAGAAGATAAAGCAGGAGCTTTTCGCCTTCAACAAGGTAAACTAACGGGACAAAACTCGCCGCACCTTTCACTCAAACAAGGCCAATTTTAGGTCACATGCAAATAAACTAGTTAGTGCTTAGGTGTAACTGTTATTGAGCCCTGCCACCATCCTCTGTGGTTTTAATCAGAAGTGGTTGGATGAGCATGCATTGTTATGTCCCTATGGTCCATTTGTTTTTACAGCGTGGTAATGATCCAAACTAGGCAGCAGAAGTAGCAGTTACTAACAACAGTGATCTAGGCTGACTACATTCTGTGATGAGAGGATTAGAAAGACTCACTCTTGCAGGATTAGGTCATTTGAATGAAACAGTGGATTTATGGCATCATGACCTATGTTTTACAACTTGGTTAAGATGGCTGTCAATGTTTGCTTCTCTTGCATAGACCACCACCAGTGCACCCACATGTTATCCACTTTACAAAACAAGTAATGATATTATGATGAGTTCTTGAGTGTTCCCAGTTCAGTGCATGTTGATACCTGCTGCTAAACTGGTTTGGGGAACACAAAGGTCATTCACAAAAGTCATTGTTATCGTGGGGGTGTTTTAGTATCTGTATATGGTATTACAATTGTTGGTGAAAGGATGTGCGTTGAACTATATGTACTGAAGTGAGCAGTGGCCTTGACCTTAGGTGAGGCCAATGTCTGTATTGTCACCATAGAAAGTAGTAGATAGTAGATTAGTGTACTACATACACTAATACATGCAGTTTGGTTAGTTGAAACATACCTGTTCTGTAAATCTTTTATGATGAGCTTGTTTGCAATGACTGCATCATTTTCTTTTTATTGCGTGACCATTTCTAATCAAGATTTCATTATCTATCCATTCATTCATTTATTTTATTTTACAGATAATAGAACATTTTAAAACTCCAGTAGTATACGTAAAACAATTTTAAGTTATCTCAAACATCAAAGATTTTCAGTGTTCTTCAAAGGATTTTAGAAGGATTCCATGTTTGCTCCCAAAATACATTTTATTTCTGTTCGGTAAGAGTCAAATGCATAAACATTATGTATTTTGAGTAAGTATTGTATAAACTGTTGAAGCGATTTGATTTCTTCAAGTAGAGCTGCCCAAATATATCAAAGAAACCGTGCTATATTGATATTGAAATAACTGTATGTATAAGTGATGTTATTTTTATGCATAAACGTTGCATTAGTATTACGAGAGATGCTGCAGTTTCAAAAGCATATTGATTTATTTCAGGGCATAAAATATAGTAATATATAGTAACATGTGTTATCACTGTCCATGACACCACTATCGCATATCACATGTTTTTCCAATAATTTCAATTTTTATTTAGAGAGGGATATTAGTTTCCGATCGTTTAAATAATGTATTGTAAGTATCCTATCCATTATTGTGGCAAACACGACAATTTGAGGCAATAAACTAAAACAACAAGCAGACGTCTTTACCTATTGGGGACGTATTGGACAGCCCTGGTTCTGGGTCACACACATAGTTTAAGGCCTGACACAGCTGCCACAACTATCAGAGGTGGTCTCTCAACAGGAGGGCGACTTTGATGTCACTTCATAAGTCTGTGCAGAACGAATGCTTTGGTCCTGTCAAAGTATTTACAGCCTTCGCTAATCATGAAAATGCAATGTGCATTTTAATTTCATGTTTATAATCCAGTCCACTTACTGTTGTTTTCCCAGTTCCTTCCCTTAAAGCAAACCCAAGCTAAAGTCTTGAATAAATTAATCCCTTTTTACAAGGATGTGCGTTTGCCATCAGGGCTTTTAGTAACTTTCCTACAATTTTATTAAAAGGAGTCGTCTTTGAGACGCCTCACTGGCTGAACCGCCTGACAGCTAAGGGCAAAAACGCACGCACTCCTTCAGAGCAGAGTAGAGTGAAAGATCGGACTGAATGTGACCCTAAATGTGACGCTTTATGTGGTCAGCTGTCTCATGTGTCGTGTATGTTTCTCCTTCAGACTGTGGAGCATGGATTCCCTCACCAGCCCAGCGCTTTGGCCTATGACCCCCTGCTGCAACTTATGGCCATTGGTACCAAGTCAGGAGCCATCAAAGTGTATCCTACCGGTTTGTTGGACAGCTTGGCCTCTCTGTTTTTTAGTTATTACACTAGAATCAACACATATTAGTATGTTTTGAGACATAGTTATAGTCTCAATATCCGAGCATTTGTTGAGTATGAGTCAAGTGTCTATGAACAAACCTATTTTTTACGAGTTGATTTTTGATGACCAGGCTCAAACTTCCTCATTATCCTGAGGTGAGGAAGTTAACATGGAATAGTTGTGACTTTCAGCATTTGGAAAAGTCTATTTATACACTATGCTATGCCTCGTATGCAGTGCTATGAATTGAAGTTGGTTGAGGATGAGACGTGGAAGGCAGGAGTTTATTCACCATCAGAATGGGACCCGAACTCTCCAGTCACTGTGACATTGTCCATTCTGTATGGGAAGAGTTTAAACTTGCTTGTTCATGTGCAATTTCTATATCAAAGACTGATTCATGTTTTTAATTAACTATACCATGTTTAAATTTTGAAATCCTGATCAATTAACACACTATATACTATAACGTTGTGCTTTTCCCAACAAGCTTTAATTATATTGTTCATCCCTGTTATTTATGAATATGAATGTGAAATGCTTCTTCAACCACACATATGACCTGAAGTATCACTGATGCATTCAAAACTTTGTTGCCAGTTCAATTGAAGCGTTACCTCAGCCCCTGTTTTGTGGCTGTCTTTTTAAGCATATGTTTGGTGCACAGAGATGAGTTCTAGTTTAACTTCTGCAACAAAGCCATTATTTGGCCCAGTGTGTCACCAGTGTCAAAAATTCCACCAACTCCGATGAGCTACTGGTGCCATTTATTATAGCACGTGGGGGGGGAGCAATGAAGATTTATGTGAAGAATATATTGGATTGCTTTTGTATAATTATGTCAATATAAAAAATAAAGAAAAAAATACATAAAACATAATCAAACAAATGCTGCATTATATTTAGTACATTTTTTGTATAGTTTCTTGTGAGGTAGATATAGTTTGCAAGCCGGGATTTCACTAATTCTGCAGCGTCAAACCACAGGAATGCTTCATCACAAGGGGAAACGATTCACTGCTTTAAGGTGATTTCTAGCATTTGGAGATTCTTTTGAGCTTCTGAAGCGCGGCTCACAT